TAGGTGATGGGGAGGAAGGCAGCAAATCACACTGCCACTTGTGTACCTATGCAACAATTTTGCATGTTCTTCACATGTACCCCAAAACCTAAAATGCAATAAAATAAATAAATGGAAAAAAAAAGTGAATTAAGCAGAATGCAAGGTCTAGTGTTGACAGTGAAGGGAACAGAAAGCTGTACTGATTGTAAGGGTGACTGGAAGAAAAATAGTGGCTGGTGTTAGCAATGAATGAAGTGGGATGCTGTGTCTGGTGTTAGAGGTGAATGGAACAGAATGTTGTGTCTAGCATAAGGGTGAATGGAGCAGAATGTGTATCTGACATTAATAGCAGAATGCTGTGTCTAGTGAATGAAGCAGAATATGGTTTAGGAGTTAACAGCAAATGTGGTGTTTAACACTAGAAATACAAGAATCAAATTGAAGTGTGTCCAGAAAAGGGTTAATAAAACAGGCCTGAGGCTATCTTAGAAAGGGCCTCTTGCAAGTTTGCCTCTTGGATGGCATCTGGGAAGTTAGATTTTGCATATATTCCTTCTTTCCCTAACTGATAAGGCTGGCTCACTGTGCCTATATTGTACAAACAATCTGGTTCATGCTAAACAATCTGCTTTCCTTTTAGGCATCTGGAATTTTGGCACATGCTAGGCAGAGGGTGCTGATGTGACCAGCTCCCAGTTAAAACATGGCACACTGAGGCTCAAATGAATCGTAGAACAGTCTCTGTTTTTCTTTGTCTTGTCTTTCCTTTTTTTTTTTTTTTTTAGACAGAATCTCACTTTGTTGCCCAACCTGGAGAGCGGTGGTGTGATCTCAGCTCACTGCAACCTCCACCTCTCTGGCTCAAGTGATTCTCCTGCCTCAGCCTCCCGAGTAACTGAGATTACAGGCACACACCACCATGCCTGGCTAACAGTTTCTGTTTTTCTGACTTTTTGGGCAGAAATATAACACACACGTCTGCATGTTGTTGCTGGAGTAAGAGTGCATTCTTTGTGACCCCTCATGGGAGGGTGAGAGTAAGGAAGCCTGCACATGGATTCCTGTAGTCTCTGTCTATGTTCTTTCCCCCTGATGAGCCAGCTGTATCTTCTGAATATGTTGCTGTAATAAATCTTAGCTGTGGAGAGCCGAGAATGGGAGAAGAGCGGAGTATGTGAGCAGGGCAGAGGGCTCCTCTCCTCTCCTCTCCTCACCTTGCTCTCTCAGCTTACCTTTACCCCCCCACCTGCTCGGCGTCCAGAACACCTTCCACCAGGACCACCTCAGCAAGTTCCCACTTAAAGAAAGGTGCTAAGCAGGTGTACATGTCCCTGCGTCAGGGTGAGAAAGTCCAGGCTATGTATATCTGAATCCATGGTACTAGAAAAGGACTGCACTGCAAGACCCAGACCCTGGACGGTGAGCCCAAGTGTGTGGAAGAGTTGCCTGAGTGGAATTTCTTTCTTTTTTTTTTAAGACGGAGTTTTTACTCTTGTTGCCCAGGCTGGAGTGCAATGACACGGTTTTGGCTCACTGCAACCTCCGCCTCCCGGGTCCAAGTGATTCTCCTGCCTCAGCTTCCTGAGTAGCTGGGATTACAGGTGTGTGCCACCACACTCAGTTTATTTTTTGTATTTTTATTAGATGGGGTTTCATTATGTTGGCCAGGCTGGTCTTGAACTCCTGACCTCAGGTGATCCACTCGCCTTGGCTTCCCAAGGTGCTGGGATTACATGTGTGAGCCACCGTGCCTGGCCTGGAATTTTGATGGCTCAAGTATTTTACAGTCTGAAGTCTCCAACAGTGACATGTATCTCATGCCTGCTGCCATGTTTTGGGACTCTTTCAGTAAGGACCCTACAAGCTGGTGTTCTGTAAAGTTTTCAAGTACAACTGAAAGCCTGCAGAGACCAATTTGAGACACATCTGTAAATGGATAATGGACATGGTGAGCAACCAGCACCCCTGGTTTAGCATGAAGCAGGAATATAGCCTCATGGGGACAAATGGGCACCCCTTTGGTTGGCCTTCCAATGGCTTCTGGGGACCCCAGCATCCCTATTATTGTAGTGTGGGAGCAGACAAAGCCTATGACAGGGACATCATGGAGGCCCATTACAGGCCTGCTTGTATGTTGGAGTCAAGATTGTGGGGACTAATGCTGAGGTCATGCCTGTCCAGTGGGAATTTCAAATCAGACTCTGAAGGAATCAGCATGAGAGATCATCTCGGGGTGGCCTGGTTCATTTTGCATCATGTATGTGAAGACTTTGGAGTGATAGCAACCTTCGATCCTAAGCCCATTCCTGGGAACTGGAATGGTGCAGGCTGCCATACCAACTTTAGCATGAAGGCTGTGTGGGAGGAGAATGGTCTGGAGTACACTGAGGAGGCCATTGAGAAACTAAGCAAGTGGCACCAGTACCACATCCACACCTGTGATCCCAAGGGAGGCCTGGACAATGCCCGATGCCTAACTGGATTCCATGAAACTTCCAACATCAACAACTTTTCTGCTGGTGTAACCAATTGTAGCCCCAACATATGCATTCCCTGGACCACTGGCCAGGAGAAGAAGCATTACTTTGAAGACCGTTGCCCCGCTCCCCACCAACTGTGACCCTTTTATGGTGACAGAAGCCCTCATCCATATGTGTCTTCTCAATGAAACCAGTGATGAGTCCTTCCAGCACAAAAACTAAGTGGACTGGGCATCCAGCCATCGAACCCCTCCTAGTTCTTTATCCCACTCCAACTCCTTCCCCTCTCCTAGTTGTTCCAATTGCAACTTGAAGGGTGGAATATCAAGGTCTTTTTTAGTTCAAAAAATAAAAAAATAAAAATATCTTAGCTGTGAATACAACTTTATGCTGAGTCCTATGAATCTTTCTATCCAATCTCTGGATATGGGGTTAGTGTTGGAGATCCCTGACATACGATATTTACTATTAATGGTGAAAAGAGCAGAATGTTGCACTTAGCTCTAAAAGTGAATGGAGGAGAATATGAAGTTGAATGTTAAAAGCAAATGAAACAGAATGTGTGTCCAGTGTTGGTAGACAGTGGAGCAGAATGTGGTGTCTGGCAACTTGTATTGAACCATAATGTTGAGTCCGGTGGAAGGACTGATGGATCAGAAAAGTGTAGAGCCTGCAAAGATCTGCAGGATCCTGCAAAGTATAGTACATAAATCAGTAGTGAGTAACTCCTTTGCTTTCCATGTTTTAGGCAGGGCAAGGAAGTGGATACTGTCCTTATTTGTCCAGGTGTTCTATGCTCTTGGGCAATGGGACCTACCTTGGGTAGTGATGCTCGAGAACCAGAGCTCTGGGTGGTCATAGTGAGCACAGTGGTGATACCTAGGCCCACACGAGCAGGTGCAGCATCCATGTTGATCCAGAAGGAGATCCATGACAGGATGACGATGAGCAGGCTGGGAATATACATCTGAATCAGGTAGTAACCCATCTGCCGCTCCAGGTGGAACCGGGCCTCAATGCAGGTGAATTTACCTGCAAGAAATTGCAGTGAGAAGGCAGTGTAGCCGGGTGAATAGGACCAAAAGCTTTAGGGTTAGAACAACCTTGGCTGGAGTTCTGGTCCAGTCTCATACTCCCTGTGTCCTTAGACAAGTATTTGAATTGTTCTGTATATGTTTGTCGTGTATAGTAAACTGGGGATAATAATAATACCTCCTTCATATAGTTACTTATATGGTTAATGTGAGGATAAAATTAGATGATGCTTATGAAAAGCTTAGCACGGTCCTCATACATTATAAATGTTCTGGATTGTCAATTGCCATAATTACCATTGTCATCATCATCATCAACAGCATCAATATTTTGTTGCTGAGAATGGTCCTAAGTGGCACTTTCTCTACCTTTCTTCCAGTTATCTTCCCAAAATATGACTTGATTCTGTTATTTCCTCTTCTAAAACCTTTGGTCCCAACCTTCTTTCCTCATACAAGGCAGTTCTCATTACCTACAGGAAAAAGTTCAAACTCTTTAGCCTGACCTTTATAGTCAAGCTCTAACCAGTATTTCTGTCCACTTCCCCATCACTCTTCACCCTAATCATGACTCCCTACATGCCATCCCTTGCCTTGAGCATGCCCTGAACTTTCATATTTCTGAGCTTCTGATCTTGCTCATCCCTTTGCCCAGAAAGCCCTTGTTCCTTCCCACAACCAGCCAAAGAAATCTTCCTTCTCCTCCATGGCAGTGTAAATGTGAGCAGCATTCCTTCTCCTCCAGGCAGAATGCTGCTTTTTTTCTGTGTTATTTGAACCCTGTTCACATGATCATCAGAGCATTTAAGACATAATGCAGTGAGTGAGTGGGCAAGTCAGTCTCTCTCTCTCTCTCTCTCTGTCTTCTGCACTAGACTAGGCAGCTTGTCTCCTCCCTGTCTGTGTATCCCTGGAACTGGGATGGAGCTAGTCCTAGGATGGGGTCTTAGTTCCTGTCTACTGAAGCACAATAACTAGAGAATTTCCTGAAGCTCCCTGGACTCTAAGCTCCATATAGGCAGGGTCTTGTCAGCCTTTTATCCTTGCAAGCATAGGGTCTAGCACAGAGCTCAGCCCTTACTAAGATGAACATGGTGGAGAGTCAATGAAATGAATGAGAATATGCTATGTACGTTTAGGCTGTTTCCATATCTTGGCTATTGCGAATATTACTGCAGTGAACATGGGAGTGCAGATGTGTCTTTGAGATACTGATTTCATTTTCTTTGGATATGTATCTAGAAGTGAGATTACTGGACCATAAGAGATTTCTCAATGGATGAATGGATAAAAAAAATGAAACATTATTCAGCCTTAACAAAGAAGGAAATTCTGCCATTTATGACACTGTGGATGAAGCTGGAGGACATTTTTATATTAAGGGAAATAAGCCAGACACAGAAAGACATATATTGCATGATCTCACTTATATGTGGAATCTAAAATAGTCATACTTATAGAAGCAGAAAATAGAATGGTGGTTGCTAGAGGCTGAGGGGTGGGGGAAATTGGGAGATGTTGGCCAAAGGGTACAGAGTTTCAGTTATGCAAGATGAATAAGTTCTGGAGATCTAGCATACAGCTATGTGACTAGAATTAACAGTACTGTCCTGTATACTTGAATTTGCTAAGAGGGTAGATCACCTTTTCACTGTTTTTTTTTTTTTTTTTTTTTTTTTTTTTTTGAGATAGAATCTCAAAAAAAAAAAGCCCAGGCTGGAGTGCACTGGTACCATCTCAGCTCACTGAAGTCTCCATCTCCCAGGTTCAACTGATCTCCTGTCTTAGCCTCCAAAGTAGCTGGGATTACAGGGTTGTGCCACCATGCCCAGCTATTTATTTTTATTTTTATTTTTAGTAGAGACAGGGTTTCACCATGTTGGTCAGACTGGTTTCAAACTCCTGGCCTCAAGTGACCCAACTGCCCTGGCCTCCCAAAATGCCAGGATTCAGGCGTGAGCCACCACGCCTGGTCTTTTATTCCCCCTCCACATTTTAATAGTTTTAAAATATATTCTGAATATTTGACCCCTATCACATTTATGATTTACAAATATTTTCTCCCATTCTGTGGGTTATCTTCACAATGTGTCTCTTGATGCACACGAGCTTTTAATATTTATGAAGTCAAATCTAACCGTTGTTTTTTCATTGTTGCTTGTGTTTTTGATGTCACATCTATGAATCTATTGCCAAATCTAAGATTAGTAAGATTTGCCCTCATGTCTTCTTCTAAAAGTTTTATCATTTTAGCTTAATCTTAAATATAGGTCTTTAAGAGGGTAGATCTTAAGTGTTCTTATCAGGCATACGAGATACACACACACACAGACACACACAGACACACATACACACACTGAGAAGTATGTAAGGTGATGCATATGCTACTTAGCTTGAGTGTGGTAATTATTTCACAATGAATATACATATATTTATATATATATCAGAACATCATGTTGCATACCTTCAATATATACAATTGTTATTGTTCAGTTATACCTTAAGAAAGCTAAAAAGAAAGAATAAAATAAAATACTCTATAAAGAGTAAAAGACTTGGTATGTGAAGGTCAGTTGTGGTGATTTGACTTGGGAGTCATTACTTTCACCGCTGCTATGGGAATATCATTATTGCTGAAGGGATGAAGATAATATCTTTGGAGGTTCTGAAACAACTCCGAGGTGACTCAGAAAGAGGCAGCTGCCCAAGACAGATGAGAGCCCAGGGTGCCTGCACTTTCACTGGGCTTTCTACTTGCACCAGAGCCTACGATCGTTTCTCTCAATCCCTATCTTTCACCTTCTCCTCTTGCTGGCCTTCCATGCCTCTCTACTCTATGCAGCTGGGTTCAGATCCCAGCTTCCTACCCATCATTCCAGTTGCTGTACCAGCCAACCGACTTTCTTCCTCCATGCTTTTATGGGCTTGTTCTCAGCCTGAGACAGGGTATGCAAAGCCAGTTTTGATCTGGCCCCAATCATCCAGATATTCAATTTTCCAAAAAGGCATGGGAGATAGAGAGCTGAGCTACACCATCGTGGCTTCTCTGCCTTCTCATAGCTCACAGGCTGGTGAACCCTTTGTAGCTATTTACTAACCTTCAGTGCCACTTCTAAGCTCCCTCTTGCTGAGGTCTATTGTGAGTATTCTCTCTACTTTTGCTCTACTGGAAATGCCAGTTCCTCTGTGACAGAGACTACTAGGTGTCTTCCCAATATCAGTTCTTCACTTCTGCCTTAGAAATAGGATCCATTCCACTACCTGGAATAATGACTGTATTTACCAGCTTCCCTGGTAATTAGGTACAACCCAAGCTTAAGCTACTCACTTCAGGACTCACAGGAAGAAAATATCAGAGCCACTTTTTTGTTTCAAAACCTATTCTCTTAACCGCTAGGTAATAAATACAGAGCTGTTTCCATCATGGGTACTTCATAAGATCTGTTGAATCAATGATTGAATGTGTTTGAAACAACCTCTGGTCCTGGTTGTGGGGTGGGATCTGAGGAGGATGGCCCTTGTACCTACCTGTGTTGTAATGCTTGGTGCAGTATCTCAAGTCCTTCTCTTCCTTCAAGATAAACTGGGGCAGAGTTAGTCCATCTGCCACCTGCACAGCTCCCTGTTCCTGCCACTCAAAGATGAGGTCATTCATGGTGTATCCAACTGGGATGGGATCAGAAGAAGGTTGGTTGGGGTTAGAGACTGAGAGACATCAGACACTTGATGGTACTTGTGAGACCATGTTGCTTTTCTTTTCCACTCAAGGGAGGTAAAAACTGGTTAATTTTTATATCTACATCATAGCCCTTCCACCTCTCTTCCCAACTTTCTGCATTAGCTTGTACTGTTGTTTCCCCTCTCACTGCCATGGTGAAATGCAGTTGATATCTGCTATTTTCACCTGCACACTCTATCCTTGCCAACCTCCCCTTTTGCTCACGGCAGATATTCCTCTGCAGAACAACTCTTGCTGAGACTAGCTGCTGGCTGGGGCAGGAGGGGAAAGGTGTGAAATGGTGACTTGAGCTAGGCCAGACCATGACCCACCACTTCAGCGACTCTCGAGTGAAGTAACAAAACTTTCAGAATTGGTTTGTGCTGATTCCCCTCATGGGTAGTACTCCAAGGAAATGGTCTACTAGTTCCTGTTGCCTAAGTGCTCTGCCTTGGTTTCTGTATTTTTAAGTTAGTCAGGTTGGTTTCTCTGTTTGCAATCAAAGGAGTCAGCTATCCAATCTGTTAAAATCCTGGTCCTCCATAAAGTCTACTCCAGTACCCTCTCTCCTTCTCCATCAGAAGGAAGCATTCTTTCTGCCACAAAACCACAGCACTTTGTACTTCTAACAACACACCACTCACTTGCCGCCCTTTGTTAGAGTTGTTTTTGCAGTAAGTTGTTTACCTCCCCTGCTGGAGTGAACATCTTGTGGGTTCAAGGACCATGACTTATTCAAGCCATTTCTTTTCCATTCACATTCACTATAGATGTGGAACAATGATCCATTGGAGAACGTGCTGGCTCCAAAACATGGACCTCAGTCAGGCCATGTGAGGGAAGTTGTATTTCTAATTTTCTAGAAGCAAAGTCCTTCATCAAATATTTTGGGTTATTACAGTAATCTCCTGGGGTCTAGTGGTTAGGAGCAGCTGTGTGGGAATTTCTGCCTGTCCCATGGGTAAAAGGGAGACTGGTTTTTTCTAGTGGACTCATGGAAGACACTCACAGCTTTCCAGTTGCATGATACATGTCTGGACATCCATAGGGAAATTCTTCAAGTCCATGGGGCAGGCCAGTGTCAGGGTGATTCTGGGAAGAGAAGGGAATTGAATGATGCAGGATCCACATATTGGGGAGGCTGTGCCTCTATTCTAGTTATAATAGAAAATCAGTTGTCCAGGGTAGGGAAAGAAGGTCAGGGAGCTTGTGTTTGTTTGTTTATTTATTTTTGAGAGATAAGATCTCTCTTTGTGGCCTAGGCTGGAGTGCAACAGCACAATAATGGCTTGCTGCAGCCTCGACTTCCCAGGCTCAAGCAATTATCTTGCCTCAGCCTCTAGAGTAGCTGCAACCATAAGCACATACCACCATGCCTGCTAATTTTTAAAAAAATTTTTGGGCTGGGCATGGTGGCTCACACCTGTAATTCTAGCACTTTGGGAGGCCAAGGCGGGTGGATCACAAGATTAGGAGATTGAGACCAGCCTGGCTAACATGGTGAAACCCCGCCTCTACTAAAAGTACACACACACACACACAAAATTAGCTGGGCATGGTGATACGTGCCTGTAGTCCCAGCTACTCTGGAGACTGAGGCAGGAGAATCATTTGAATCCAGGAGGCGGAGGTTGCAGTGAGCTGAGATCATGCCACTGCACTTCAGCCTGGGTGACAGAGCAAGGCTCCATCCCCCACCCTCCCCAATTTTTTTTTTTTTTGTGGAGACAGGGGTGGTCCAGGCTGGTCTCAAACTCCCAGGCTCAAGCATTTCTCCCACATCAGCCTCCCAGGTGTGAGCCACAGTGCCTGGCCATGACATGACTTTTATATATAGAAAGCCCTGACAATTACATACACATGTATGAACTGTTAAAGTAAATAAAGGAATTTAGCAAAACTGAAGGATAAAAAATCCTCAAGTGGTTGCAGCAGAGCAGTGGGAAGCAGAGTGCGGCCAGCTGCTTTGGGGACCTGCAGACCCTCTGGCCTTGGGCATGCAGATGAGCTGGGGGCCCAGGCCTGGCCACAGCCTCTGTCCTGAAAGCTCCCAGAGCCCTTGCTGTGAGTCCCACAGGCTGGGCCTAGGCCTGAAGCAGCAATAAACCTCTTTTCCCACCCCACCTTGGTGACCTGGTGGCCATCTGGTCTCCCAGCCAACTTTGCCCAGCCTAGACAAAGCTCCAGATAGCTGCCGGGACGCAGCACCTTTGGGTGGTGGTGGGTGTGGACAACTTATGTTTATTAAATAAATGTATGTGTATTTTCAAGTTCCTGATTGAAAAATGCAGACACAGAGAGGTAAAAGTAGGTTGCCTAAAGTGACACAGAGTCAGTGAACTTCAGGGTTTCTTTGGAGTCTAACTGTCCTCTGGACACCTGTCTTTAGCAAGTTGCCTGGATACCAGGGGCTGCCCTGCTTCCTTACTCTTCTGCATAGCCCTCAGGTAGGGACACAGCTCAGATTTTAAGTTGAGCAGTGCCCATGTGCACCTGCAGCAGGTGTTGCAAGTGGTTCTTGGCACGTAGGGCTCATCAAAAGCTATTTCAAAGAGACTTCCTGCCTTTTGGGTGTCCAAACACAGCTCACTCACATCAGTGGGCTCATGCTGAGATTGGCTGAAAGGGGTGGGCTCCCCAGGATTCTAGGCTAGCTGTTTATTTTGGTTGTTCAACCCTTACAGAGGCCATAGACTCAGAACCAGAGGGAGTCCCCTCAACAGAATTCAAGGCCTGCAGCTCAAGCTGGGATACAAGACTCCAGCTTGAAAGGCTTTTCCAACATCTGAGTACCTGCTGCAGAGGATGGAGAAGAAAGGCTTTCAGAGCCCAAACAGCCTTAGATCATCAAGCCAACTACCTCATGTGACAGGTGAGAAACCCAGGGGGCAGAGAGGGATAGGTTGAGAGTCATCTAAGGTCACACAGCAAGCTGATTTATCAGCCAGGATTCAAAACCATGTGTCCTGGCCTTTGGATTCTGAGTCCCAGGGTGGGTTTGCTCATGTGTTTGCGGGCAGCACTGCTATCCTGAAAAGCCAACCCTAATATCCTAAGACACCTAATTGGTGGCGTTCTAGTGGAACTGAGCTGACACTTTGGCTGCCTGTGGTGAGGTACACAGTCCTTTGTGAACTTCCCTCCTCCAGGTTACACCCACAGCTCTGGATGTGGGCCCCTTTAAGCACAAGGTTGAAGCAAAGGGGGGAAAATGAAAGGGAGATGGGGAGGGAGAAGAGGGAAAAGAAGGAAGTGGAAGGAGGGAGAAAGTGAATACAGTTGAATTTCTACAGATTAACAGCTCCAAAGTGGGGCAGCTGTCACACTGGGTTAATTTCCTGAAGTGGAATGACCTTGGAAACATCACTTTCTGCTGATCTGTCCTTCTATCATGCTGCACCAGGACTTAGCCTCCTAGAGATAGGAAGCTAGCCTGGCAGCAGCAAAATCCAAGCAGGCTGACCTTACCATTCCCCCAGCCAGCTGGGCTGAGTGGTCATTTCCTAAGCCTGTCACTCTTCCAGTCTGGATGTTTACTTGGCGGGGATGGGAGGGTGTGCCCATGAGTAAAGAAGGCCACGTGAGCCTCAGGTTCCTCTAAGGCTGCCCTTGATGATGAGGTATGTTTCTCTGAAGGACTGGGGCGGGAAGGGAAGACATTTAGGATGAGTGTCCTTTTAAGCTCTTTGAAATAAAAACATATTCATATATTGATGATATATTTGAGTGCCTATTGAATGCCATGCACTGCTATAGGACTTTGAGAGGGCATCAGATTCACACTAATATAGATTACAGTCTAGGCTCTGCTACTAACAAACTGGAAACTTCAGCAAGTTACTTAAAATTTCTGATCCTCACTTGTCTAATCTGCAAAATGGGCATAGTAAAACCTGGTTCATGGAGTTATTAGGAGGGCTAGATATAACACATGAAAAGTACCCAGCATGGTTAGTGCATTCTCAATGAATGGTAGCTGTTATTATTACATGAGTAAGGTAATAATAACACTTCTTGGTGTTATTCACCTCTTGGACATTGGTCATTTTCCTTATGCTTTAGGAGAGAACATCAGGGACTTGGTGTGGAGGGGTGGCAACAGACTCTGAAGGCTCTGTCCCTAACCAATATCTAAAGGTTATTCCACATCTGGAGAAGAAGATCTAAACTCCTAGACCCAGTGCAAGGTTTGGGGGATAGGAAGATTTTACAGAAGGGATGGAATAGCCCTGACCTTGACCACAAGCAACCCCATCTACCTGGCAGGCTCATTTGCTTTGAAGTTGCTGTGATTTTCTAGGTTTTATGCTTTAGCTTCTGCTATTGGTAATCATGCTTGAATACTCTTTCCTAGCTTGTTTGATTGTAATGTTGGGTAACTTAAACCCCAGCTTCTCTAGGATGCCTTCCTTGGTCTCCTTGGTTGTAATAAACCATTGGCCCCTAGAATGAAATACCCTAAAGCTGATGTCTGAGCATTCAAACTATTCTGCCTAAAGAGAACAATTACTTCTCCAGCAGCGAAGGAAGGATGGGTGGAAGAATTCTGTAGTGTTCCTGCCGGTCCTAGGGCTCATCCTACTCTGTTGTAATACCAGTCTTCCATAACTTACTGTGACATACGTTGTTTTGTTTGGAAAGGTTTAACAGATGTCATGGAGTCACGTTTTACTAGCTTCTAAGCTCAGTGCATATTTAATGTGTCTCTGACGGGACTGCCATGTAGTTATTCCACTGAAAGAAAATTCATGAGTCAAATACCCCATGGTATTTTATTCTTACTTGCTGAGTATAAGTTACAGAGCTGGGTCTGCCTATTCTGCAAAGGTGTTGGTTTGCCAGGGCCTGTTCACCTCTGTTTGGCCCCTCTTTTAGGGTCTGCATCCAGAAGGTAGTGGGGCAAGGCGAGTTCTGAGGAGGGAGTGGGAGAACCTGATCAGAACTCACCTGATGCTGTAGAGGACATTCCCATTCCGGGAGATCCTTAGCAATTTGTTATCTGTGGTGATCTCATGGAAGTGGGCCCCCTTCTCATTGGCAAAGAACAGGTCAGGTTTCCAGATGGAGTCCAGCATGGATGGGTCCAGGTCCAGAGAGTCGTCAGGGTATTCATTATAGGCCAGGCGGGGGTCGTTCCACTGCTGCCGCAGGAAGATGTTGACCCTATAGTCCTATAGCCACGAAACAAGGTGAAGGCAGTGTTAGGGCCAAGGACATCAACTTTTGGAGGGCCTAGGTGCTTTTGGCCAGTAAAACCTTTTGTGTAGGATGTTATTAAGTGTGGTTGCATCTTATATGAGGGTGAGACATAAAAGGTGTGTATCAGTCAAAAACCATGGGAGTCACAATTTCCCCCCGAAATCCTCTAAATGCCTGATGAGGTATATTCAACCCTGAGCTGAGATTACATAAATGTTATTCTTTCTTTTGAAAAAAATTAATCTAAAGAAAAGTTTAAAGATGTATGTAATAAACACTTGTTTTCATCATCCTGTTAATATTTTGTCATGTTTACTTCGTTTCTTCAAATAAGAGAAAAAATGCATTGCAGATAAATTGAAGTCTCCCTTTTACCCTCAACCTCAATAGTACAGGATTTCTTAGGCACACTATAATTTGAGAATCATTGGTCTAGACAGATTGAAGGAATGAAAGGAAAGAAAGCTGAAGTCTGAGCATTCAAACTATTCTGCCTAAAGAGAACAATTAATTCTCAAGCAGTGAAGGGAAGATGGGTGGAAGAATTCTGTAGTGTTCCTGCTGGTCCTAGGGTTCATCCCACTCTTGTAATACCAGTCTTCTATAACTTACTGCGACATATGTTGATTTGTTTGGAAAGGTTTAATAGATGTCATGCAGTCACATCTTATTAGCTTCTAAACTCAGTGCTTAATGTTTCTCTGATGGACTGCAAAGTGATTATTTCATTGAAAGAAAATTCATGAGTCAAATCAATTAGGGAAATGTTAGACCACATGAAATACAACAGGTTTCTTTATTACAGGACTTCTCAGAGACGTTAATATGCTGATGAGTTGTGTACATTTTAAGAAGGGAGTAGAATATGATTTATTTTGGCCATGGAACTCTTATTTTGTGCATGATGAGCATCTTCTATAGAATATAGGTTAGGAATAGCTGTCCTAGTCAAAACTCCATCCTCGCCTCCCACCTTTTTTTTTTTTTACCCAGATGAAGAAATTGAAGTCCAGGGAGAATAGAGACTGGCTCAGTGTCACTCTGAAAATGTAGGGCCAGAGCTGATTCTAGAACCCATGTGTTCTGACTCCTAGCTGAGAGTCTGCTCAATTGCCTCCTAGAGGAATGGAAAGAATCCATTCAGTTTCTATTCACAACGTGAGGAGCTATTATGGTATGTGTAGTTCTCAATAGCAGAAAGCTGGGTCATGCAGTTAAGAAATATTTCCATTAAGAAAGCTTTTGGTCAGGGGCGATGGCTCATGCCTATAATCTAAGCACTTTCTGAGGCCAAGGTGGGAGGACTGCTTGAGCCCAGGAGTTTGAGACCAGCCTGACCAACATGATGAGATCTTGTTTCTACCAGAAAATACAAAAGGTAGCCAGGTGTAGTGGCACGTATCATGGCCTGTACAGTAGCCTGTAGTCCCAGCTACTCAGGAGGCTGGGGTAGAAAGATCACGTGAATCCAGGGAGGTTCAGGCTACAGTGAGCATGATCATGCCACTGTACTGTAGCCTGGGTGACAAAATGAGACCCTGTCTCAAACAAACAAAACAGAAAAATAAGGTTTTAAATTTTATTACAGAGACATTGTAAACCTGGAGTTCGTGAATATCATGACACTACAAGTAGAGTTTAGGAAATATTTGTGTTTCCCAAGGAGGAAGGGCATAGCTCTCTGTGTTGGATCTCCCAGAGGGTCTATAGTTCTCCAGGTGATTAATATCCTCAGTTCAAGTGCAACCTTAAATGCTCTCCTCCAAGGAATAATCTCCACACATGAGGTCCTGCTATTGCTTTTTCCCTTGAGGGTGCTGGATAAATGAGGTCATGCAATATTTTCTTTTGCAATGCTGCTTGTACATCCTCATCAGTCTTGATCTGTCATTAGCAGGGATGAACTAAAACAAATAACAAGGCCAGGCGCGGTGGCTCATGCCTATAATCCCAGTACTTTGGGAGGCCGAGGTGGGTGGATCACGACGTCAAGAGATCGAGACCATCCTGGTCAACATGGTGAAACCCCATCTCTACTAAAAATACAAAAATTAGCTGGGCATGGTGGTGCATGCCTGTAGTCCTAGCTACTCGGGAGGCTGAGGCAGGAAAATTGCCTTGAACCCAGGAGGCGGAGGTTGCGGTGAGCCGAGATCGTGCCATTGCACTCCAGTCTGGGTTACAACAGTGAAACTCCGTCTCAAAAAAAAAAAAAAAAAAAAAAAAAAAAAAAAAAAAAAAAAAAAAAAAAAAAAAAAAAAAAAAAAAAAAAAACAACCTTCCTCACCACTCACCCTCACCCCGGCTCAATTCCTCCTACAGTGCATGCCTCATTCTCTTTTCCTATAGAAATATCAATAGCTTGAGGGTGGATCTAAGATGGCCGTTTAGGAACAGCTCAGGATTGCAGCTCCCAGTGAAAGCGCAGAGGGTGAGTGGACGCCACATTTTTATTGCCCACAGACTAGGAAATTCCCAGGCGGAGGAGCTCCATGGGTGGCCAGCGCAGCTGTTTTGGCCAGTGCCGCTGTGTCGGCTGGCGCTGCTGCTTTGCCCCATGTGGCTGCTTTGTCAGCACCCTGGCGCAGCGGTTCTCCATACAAAATATACTGGTCCAGGTGCCCTTTTGCCTGGTGATTGGAGCTACGGGAAGTCACCCATTCATCTGTTTAAAAAGGGGACTGAACAGGGAACCAGGACAGTAGATTCCAGGGCAAAAAAAGTGCCACGAGTCTCAGTGCCGCTGTTTAAGCCAGAGCAATGAGTTGCTGCACGGGAAAACACACAGATCCCAGCGCCTCTTCAACAGGTGACTGGAACACCAACTTAAAAAAAAACAAAAGCCTCTGAGGCAGGGAGCCAGGCGATTAGGCTCGGCTGGTCCCACCCCCACAAAAGAACAGCAATCAGAAACTTCTGGATTGAGAGTTTCACAGCAAGTGCAGCTTAACCCACGATGGTCTAGTTCTGTGGGGGAGGGGCGTCCGCCATTACTGAGGCACTCCAACACTAAGGAGGTAGTCAACCAATGTTGACACAACCCGCCGTTGCCAAGGCAACCTGCCACCACAGAGAGACTCCGCCTTAACAGAGGCGGGCCACCATTGCCGAGGCAGTTCTAACTACACCCATATAAACAGGACTGCAGGGAAGTTCACTTGGCAGCTGGGCGGAGCCCACAGCAGCTCAGCAAAGCCTCTACAGGCAGATAGTGACTAGGCTGCCTCCTTGCTGTGTAGGGCAGCTCTGAAGGAAAAAAAAAGAAGGCAGCAGCATAATGGAAACTCATAAATAAAGCCCTAAATCCCTGGGACAGAGCATCTGGGAACAAAAAGCGGTTTATGAGTTCTGCAGCAGCAGACCTAAACGTACCTGCCTAGCAGCTCTGAATGAACAACAGAGCTCACAGCTCAGCATTTGAGCTCCTATAAAGAAAAGACTGTCTCCTCAAGCAGCTCCCTGACTCCTGTATATCCAAAGAGCCACCTCATAAAGGAGAGATCAGACTGACACTTGGCAGGTATCCTTCTGGGACAAAGATAGCAGAAGAAGAAAACTGGTAACAACACTTACTGTTCTGCAGCTGCTGCAGGTGATCCCCAGGCAAGCAGGGCCTGGAGTGGACGTCAGCAGACCTACAGCAGAGGGGCCAGACTGTCAGAAGGAAAACTAAGAAACACAAATAACCTCATCATCAACAAACAGAACGTCCACTCAGAGACCCAATCTGAAAACCAGCAACTACAAAGAGGACAGGTGGTTAAATCCATAAAGATGGGAAGAAACCAGTGCAAAAAGGATGAAAACACCCGAAACCAGAGCACCTCTCCTCCTACAAGGGATCACAACTCCCCACCAGCAAGGGAACAAGGTTGGATGGAGAACGAGTGTGATGAAATGACAGAATCAGACTTCAGAAGGTGAGTAGCAAGAAACTTCTGTGAACTAAAAGAACACGTTCTAACCCAATGCAAAGAAACTAAGAACCTTGAAAAAAGATTTGACGAAATGCTCATGAGAATGGACAAAATAGAAAGGAATATAAGTGAATTGATGGAGCTGAAAAACACAACATGAGAAATTCGTGAAACATGCACAAGTATCAATAGCCGAATTGACCAAGCAGAAGAAAGGATATCAGAGGTCGAAGATCAACTCAATGAAATAATGGGAAGGCAAGAATAGAGAAAAAAGGGTAAAAAGGAATGAACAAAATCTCCAAGAAATGTGGGACTATATGAAAAGACCTAATCTATGTTTGATAGGCATACCTGAATGCGATGAAGAGAATGAATCCAAGCTGGAAAATACTCTTCAGGATATTATCCAGGAAAA